AGGGAATGGCTTCCCAGTGCCAGAGGGCAGGGTCAGATGGGATATTGGGAAGGAATTGCTGGCTGGGAGGTGGGGAGGCCCTGGCCCAGGTTGCCCAGAGAAGCTGTGGAAGGAACCTACAACAACCACCCAGGGCTGACAGAAGCCAAAGTGTGTTGTCATGGGCATTGCCCAGATTTCGGGAACCTCGGCCAGCCCTTGCTGGGAAAGGGTCTCCTTCCCATCCCTTCCTTGGAGTATTTGTGGACTGGGAGTGCTGGGGGGCTGGAGAGCCCAGGTGTTCCCAGCCTCTCTGCTCATGGAGCTGTGGGAAGCCCCTGCTGCTCCAAGGGGTCAGTGTGGGGACGGGGATGTGCTGCTGGCTGGAAGCAAAGGGAGCCTGTGCCGAATATCCCATCCCTGTGGATGAGGAGGAGGAAGACCTGGAGCACTGCACCTGGGATTGGCAATCCCAGGGTGTGTTTGGCCAGGGACAAGCCCTGGGAGCCCCTCCAGGGGATGGGGTTCCACACTGGAGGGCCTCCCCAGCTCCCAGCCCTGCTCATCCGTGCCCTGCTCCCCCCTCCAGAACAGCCTGGGGTTGATCTACACCATCTACGTGGACGGGCTGAGCGTGTCCTTGGAGAATGTCATCGGGAACCTCCTCACCTGCACCATCCCCATCACGGGGGGAGCACAGGTGGGTGTCCTGCCCCTCCCTCTCCTTCTCCATGCCCTTCCCTTTCCCTCTCCATGCCCTTCCTTCTCCATGCCCTTCCCTCTCCCTCTCTGTGCTCTGCCCCCTCAGCAGCTCTGTCAGAGCCAGGCCGGGGGTCCTGCTCAGCTGGGCTCTGGGTTTACTGTGCTGGGTGAGCTGAGTGGGACCCGTGGGCAGGGCCTGGCTCCGTGCCCTGCTGCCTTCCCAAGTACTTCGGAGCACAAACACCAAAATTCCGTGACGTGGAGCTGCTCAGCTGAGCAGGTCCTGCTGCTTGGCTGGGCTGCACTTCCCATCCCAGCCAGTGGCTCCTGCTCCCTTGGGAAGGAGACTGGGAGCTCGACCACCAGCTGACGTGGGTGCTGCTCCCTCTGTGCAAACACATTCCATGGGCCGTGGTCACTCCTGCACTCCTGGCTCCGTTTGCCCGGAGAGCTGCTCCGGGGCCGAGTGGTCACGGGCCATCTGTGAGAGCAGGGCTGGGGCAGCTGCAGGGACACGGGCCAGGGAGGGCCAGCGATGCCAGACGGGCAGCCTGGAGCTCTCCTCGGAGCACTGGGCTGCTCCTGTGCCTGGTCCTGTGCCCGTGCCTGGTCCTGTGCCCGTGCCTGGCCGGCGTCTCTGCTGGACAGGGCCTGTGCCCAGAGCCGAGGCCATCACACCCCCTGCCCCCCCCTTGGAGCTGAGTGTCCCTCCAGCAGCTCCTCCTGCTCCAGGCAGCCCAGCTGGGCTCAGCAGATGGGACAGGGGGGGTCAGCCGAAGCTGCCTTGGGGATGGCACAGAGGGAGAGCCCAGCTGGACCCCCTGGCAGGAGGTTGGGGACAGCAGTGCGATGCCCTGGGGCTTTCCTGCCATGGTGACACCTCAAATGTCACCAGGGAGCTGTGCTTGTCTCCCCCTTCAGCTGAGCTCCTCTTCCTCCAGCACAAAGTGATATTAATTATCCCACATCCAAGTGGGGGAGTCTTGGCGAGGCTGGAACAGCACCAGAGTGCACTGGGACAGCACCAGAGGGCACTGGGACAGCACCACAGGGAACTGGGACAGCACCACGGGGCACTGGGACAGCACCACGGGGAACTGGGACAGCACCACGGGGCACTGGGACAGCACCACAGGGAACTGGGACAGCACCACAGGGAACTGGGACAGCACCACGGGGCACTGGGATGGCACCACAGGGCACTGGGGCAGCACCACAGACCCCCAGTGCCTCCAGACAGGGGTTTCCTTCCCCCTGTGCCCGTGACCCTGAGGGGGTTCTGCTTCCTGCCCCCGTGTCTGAGCAGGTTTTTGGGCAGGAGCCCCTGGAGCTGCCGTAGGTTTGGGGCTCCCTCTGAGCCCCCAGAGTGCTGCAGATCCCGGGAGAGCCCGGCACTGCTCCCGTGTCTGCAGGAGAGGGATGGAGCCAGGCCCATCCAGTTCTCCAGAGAGGAGAGCGGGGTGCTGCCCACTGCCAGGGCACAGGGGCTGTGCCAGACACCCTGGGTTTGCAATCCAGTCCCGTGGGATCTGCCCGGATCCGGTTCCTCCCGGCGGGACGAGGAGGGCTGGCCGGAGCAGGGCGGCTTCTGCAGCCGCTGTGGCTCGCTGGGTTTGGCTCAGATCCATCCCCCCAGCTGGGGCAGGACCGCTCTGTGCTGTGGGAACAGGGACTGTGTGACAGGGGGGACAGTTTGGTGGCACTTCCCTTCCCTTCCCGTGCTTTACCTGTTCTCCTGCTGTGTCCAAGGCTCTTTCCCGGTGCCGTAGCCATGGCTTTCACTCCATGTCTGTGTTTGTGTATGTGGGCTCCTCTCTGAGCATTGTCCCTGCTCGTGGCTGGCTCTGCCCGTGTCCATGTCCCCCTTGTCCCGTTGTCCCTTGTCCGTGTGTCCTAACTGACTGTGCTCTCTGTCTGTCCCACCTCAGCCTGACGCGGACGACGAAGCAGCGGTACGAACTTCTTTTCTTTCCCACATTTCTTTCCCACATTTCTTTCCCACCTTGGGGTCTGTCCCCTCGTTAACAGCCTCTCTGTTAATTGCTCTGAGTGTGGCCCACCCAGGCCTGTGTCCTGGTGGTCTCAGGGCACCCTGGGGTGTCTGTGTCCGTGTGTGTCCCGGGACGTGTCCCTGGGCTCCGGGAAGGGGCTGCATTCCTGGCTGGCCCTTCTGCCTCTCTGTGTGTTCTGGGGGTTGTGAAAGCTGGGCTGGAGGAGCAGGTCAGGGGTCTGGCTCTGCTCAGCCATGGCCCTGTCCAGCACTGGATTTTGGGGCTGTTCCTGGTGGGATCTGGGAGCTCTCGTGGCTGCGGGGAGGTGGCGAAACCTGCTATTGCAGGAGCGTGTTCCCTGGAGAGGTGTGGAAAAAGGAGGAGAAGGGCCAGAGCTCTGCTCCTGCCCCAGCCCCTGCAGCCTAGAGGGAGCCTTGGGATGTGTAAGCGTCCCTGTGCCAACTGGGAATGGGTTCAGTCTGGGAATGATAAGTGATGGTGGGGAAGAAGCAATGAGCCTGTGCCCCGTCTGTCCGTCCCTGCTCCTGCTGCCAGAGAGACTGCAGAGCTGGAGCTGCTCCCTGGTACAGCAGGGCTGGGTGGGCACAGACAGGGGAGCTGCTCCCCTTGGGTCCAAGGGCCTGGAGAGCCCCCGTGGCCTGGGGAGATCTGGAGTCCTGGGGAGCCGTTGTGTCCCACCTCTCCGTGCGGATCTGGGGGCCGCCGGGATGTCGCTGGTGCTGGCTGGGAATACTGAAACAGGTGCCCTTCCTCCCCTCAGCCCGTGGACCCAGTCAAGCACCCAAGGGGTTCAGTGGCAACATCCTCTTCCTTCTTTCCTCTTCCTTCTTCCCTCTTTTCTCTCCCCTCTTCCCGCAGCAGCCGTGCTCCAGCCGTGCTGGGGGCGGGGGCTGTGCCAGGGGTGCCCTGTCCCCTGCACCGGGGGGGTTTGGCTGCCCCTGCCTTGTCCCCGTGCTGTGCCAGGGTGATCCCGGTGACCGGGTGTGTTCCCTTGCAGAGGACGATCTCCCTGGGGGCAGGGGACAGGCAGGTGATCCAGACTCCCATCAACGACTCGCTCCCGGTCAGCAGCTGCAGCGTGGCCCTGCTGTTCCGCCAGCTCGGTGAGACCCGGCCCCACCCTGCCATGGCCTCGGGGCCACAGTCTCTGCGGGTCATTCCCACCTGGCCTTGGCTCCAGAGCCTCCCCGGACCCTTTTCCAGGAGGGTGGGATGTGGGGCAGGGGTCATGAGGAGCAGCCTGGGTGCAGGAGGAGAGCCCAGAGCTGGTGTTGGCCTCGTGCCTCCCAGTAAAGGACTGGGGCAGCCCGGGAGCAGTGGGAGCATCTCTGGGAAGAGGGCCTTCCCTGGGTGACCCAAGAGTGGCTCTTTGGGGGATGCTGAGCTCCTCTCTCGGGCAGGGTGTGGGGATGGGGAGTGGTCTCCAGCCCTGGGGGGTGGGTCAGGGGTCTCTGGAGGGGTGCAGGAGGGGTCCCCCTGTTTCTGAGTGCCCTCCTGTGCCCTGCCCAGGCATCACCAACGTGCTGTTCCTGTTCTGCGCGGCGCTGACCGAGCACAAGATCCTGTTCCTCTCCAGCAGTTACCAGAGGCTGACAGACGCCTGCCGGGCTCTCCTGGCTCTCATGTTCCCCCTCAAGTACAGGTGAGGGGTCCCTGAGCCCCCCACCCTCCACCCTGTGCCAGCTCTCCTGCCTCCCAGTGTGACTGGGGAATCTCCCAGCCCTGCCTCCCTCCTCTCCAGGCAGGATGGGCTGAGCTG